ATTTCATGTTTGCTTTCAAAGAGGCATACTGCTTCTATTTTTCATTTGAGTTTTGTCTGTCATGAGGGTTTCTTAATTTACTATGTTATTGTTTTTATTTCACAATGTTTTAAAACATAAGTTAAATCATTTGAAATATGTCTACTCATTTGCCCATGTAATAAGTGAGTTATGCTGTTTGAATTACGACATTGAGAAAGTATTCATTCATTTTATATTTAGGTGTCACTCATGTCCTTAACAAGCTAGTCAGGACGGTTTATATTCAGCTCCAGTCTAATCTGAATGTAAAGAGTGAGACTGAAGACTAGTGCTAGTTGGTTAAACTGGTTAAGGCCCAGTTTAACACAGCGGCGGTGTTTGTGGTCTACAGCGCCATCTGGTGGCAGTCCAGTGAAAGTGACTCCAGGAACATCAAAAACAGACTCTACAACATAATATCACCTGATAACATTTAGAGTTGACACAGAACAACAGAAACTTGAGGAAGATATGAGAGGAGGCACAGAGTTCAGCAAGGACGCTAGGGGACGTGTCAATATCCAGTGACTATACATTGTCCTTATAATAATTAAATATATGTGATTTCAGCCGCATCTGAAATAGGTCACATCAGTGCTGGCAGATTACTTGCAAATTGTGTTCTGTTACTGATTCCAAATTTGCAGTTAGCAGCGTAATCCATTACATTACACATTTTAGGTAAAATACTTTTTTATTACTTCTGACCTAATGTTTACCACACTGATGTAAATAGGATATTTGTGTACTGTATTGATATAAGAATACAAAAATATATTCCAAAATATTTCCAAAAAGTCTCTCTTTGTAACAATTTTCTATCTCGGTTTCACATGCAAGAGAACCCTCTCAGAATTTGAAATCAGAAAAAGAATGTTTTGCAGATTCATCGGTGTGATCTTGTCTCCTGATAGCACTCATAAGTTTGACCAGCATACAATCAAGGGCAAGAACACATAATTATGCATGTCAGTGTGATCTTGTCTCCTGATAATAAGTTTGACCAGCATACAATCAAGGGCAAGAACACATAATTATGCATGTCACATGTTGTTTTGTGATCAGATTGTTACAAAGAGAGATTTTTGGGAGTGTTGAGTTGGAATCATTAACCCCGACTGGATTAAATGAAGAGATGGATCTTGCATGTTTGTTGTAAAGGGAAATTGTTGGCATGACAACTATCCCTCATTGATTAAGATCAGCTGCCAACAGATTGCAGTTGTGCCTGATATAAGTGTGTTGTGAATGCAATTAAAGAATGCAGAATCGAATCGTTAATTGAATCACATTGAATTGAACTGTGAATCAAATTGAATCGAATCGTTCTGAATGTGCAAAATCGTTCTTGAATCGAATCAACACTCTATGAATCGTGAATCGAATCGAATAGCTGTTTACCCAAAGATTCACACACAGGATAGTTTCCATGTACTCATCTAGATCAGCTTTGAATAAAGAAAAAAGAGGTTTAGAACTATAGTTTCCAAAGTTGGACGGGACTTCGCTTGTTATGATGTTCAAGGCTGTAGAATTGACTAGAGATGCTGTGACATGATCCTGTTGACGTCATTACGCACGCCATTTTTTCAGCAAAAATCCAGTTGGAGGGAAACCGGATGGAGACAAATTTCAAGTTTTTTTTGTTTGTTTGATTGTTTTTTGTTTTACACATATTCTCTTTGTTCAGAACAAAACAGTGCAAAAACTGGATGGAAACTTTCTTACTGATGTCGATCAGAGATGTTGTGATCTGTGTGTGTGTGTGTGTGTGAGAGAGAGAGTGTGTGTGTGTGTGTGAGAGTGTGTGTGTGTGTGTGCGAGTGAGAGAGAGAGAGAGTGTGTGTGTGTGTGTGTGAGAGAGAGAGTGTGTGTGTGTGTGTGAGAGTGAGAGAGAGTGTGTGTGTGTGCGAGTGAGAGAGTGTGTGTGCGAGTGTGTGTGTGTGAGAGTGAGAGAGTGTGT